TCATTGAAAAGCAAAAAAACGTCACTATAATCGAATAAAAGCGTGACAAAATTGTTTTTAATCGGACAGAACAAAAGCGGACAAATTTAATTTGATGGTTTTCCGAGTTTGGTAGGAATCATGATCATTTCTGTTACTAATTCCTAACAAAAAATTACTGGTCAAATTATTTAGAAATCAATTCGTTTGGTTTTATAAAACTGGAATTACTAAATTACGGTTTTTATTTTTGAAAATATTTATAAAGCAACAACTCTGTTTTATGTAAACTAAAATAATTCCCAATTCGATTTTGTTTGTCAATCAATAATATACGTATCGCAATCCCTAACCAATTTTAAAAGTCATTTAAATAACAACCATTAGAGGAAAAGTCCAGGGAATATTCCAATCATTGCGTTATTTTAATTAACTTATAATTATAAAAGTTAGGAGAACTTCATATTCAAATAAGCCATTTTTAATTAGAGCTAAGTATTAGATAGAACAAAGGATTTTAGTTTCAATTAAATACACCTTATAATTGAGTAAATTGTTTACTATTCTCATTTTTAATCGGTTTTTCTACAGTTCTAAGTCGGAAAATTAAAAAATATGTATAGGAAAATATGAAATTCATGTTAATAAATTAACTTTACCTTTTTTAATTAGGATTGAGCGGGCGGGCCTACATGAACTTTTTTTATTAACTAAAGGGCTGTGAGAGTAATAAAAATTTTCCAGTGATGAACGCGTTTAATGCTCGACTTAATGTTATATAATATCGAGAAATTCAATTTAATTGGTTTGTGTTTTTGATGGATTAATTTTTTTCGTCCAAACAAAATAATTTTTGTAAAAAAAATAACTGTAATTAAAAATGACAATTTAAGTTTTAGTTTATTTTTCCAAATCTATCGTAACACATCTAAATTAATTCATTATTTATTTAATTAACACTGTGTACACAACACCTTGTTTGTAGCGAATTTGTTTTAAGTTGCAATTAATGGTATAATAATAAACTACCGACAGGTTATAACGGTCATCTCCTGGGGCTCGATTCTCGAGTTCATTGGAAAAGATTCCACTACTTATATTCTCATGGTAATAGGTTATGCAATTCTCGAACTTGTCGGAATAGACATTCCCATGGAAATAGTAGTTTCACGTATGTCTGATATTAAATTATACATAAAGAATATTGTAGTGCAAGCTCCGTTCGAATGGCCAACTGTCTTAAGAAATGCAGAACCTTACAGCGTTAAAGAGCAAAAATTTAATGATTTTCTGGATTTCAAATCTTTGGCTTTAGAAAAAAACACCAAGAATCAAAATAACAGATATTAAAAGAGAGACATTTTTCAAATATTCTACCACCGCTCACTGCAGTACTTCATTTTCTTCGCAGCAAAATTTGACATTTGAATTAAAAATCAAACAACAGGCAAAATTATTAAAATGTTATAATTCAGAACTTCTGATAAGTACAAAAAAATATGACGACTTGAAAGGTTTATCACTTGCTATAAACCCACAGTATCATATAGAGTATTTAACGCTGAAGACTAATAAAGGTATTCTGATCAATTGGATGAAACTGATGAAGAAGATGTAGAAGATGATCTATAGAAAACTGTTAAATAACAAAAATTCGTCTTATTCAGTAGTTCTGATAATTTGACCAGAACAATTTTGTATAATTTCCGTAAAAATGAATAGTTTTAACTGCAGTTATTTTATTATTTAGAACTTTTTGTGATTGTTCAAATAATTAATTATTTTTAGTTTAATAGAGATATTTAGCAGCCACTGTCCTGTAACTTGAATAATAAAACTTTTTATAGTCTTAGGCGCCTTTGCTGGATGTATCATTGTTTCTATTAGTTGACGTAACTGATAAGTAACCGCCTATAAAATTACTTACACAGAAAATGGAATGACCTAAAGACAGGTATAAAGGCATCTCCTGAGGCTGATTTGGCGTAAACGCCAAAATAATCGTATAATTGAATTAAAATAAAAATTGTCACGAGATCTCTTCGCTCATTTACACCTTATGGTTAGCAATGTATGTATAAATAGTTAATCTTCTACTAGAAATAACCATTTTGTGTCTGGTATAAAATTTTACTTTTGACGCTTACGTCTCTCTGTCATGGATGCGTCGATTGTTTTAGAATCGCGACTTTTTTCTTACAATACGATCCAGAAATTGTTTATTAATTAATCTAATGTCTAGCTTGGTCAGCGGTTTACTTGACAGATTAACGAAAAAAACCATACAGTTTAATCAGCAAGTAGGTACTTTCAACTTTACTCAGTGGTGAAAAGATTGGCCTTAAGTTTATTAATAATGAACGCAGATACCTGAAATTTCCTTTAAACCACATAATAAAACATGTCCTGCGTTTGGTAAACAAATATTTATTGATTTTTGTGCAGCATCCAGATGTTATTGACATTTCTTAGCTAATATTTAAACTGAAACTTTAAATAAGTTTTTGATTGTAACATTAAGAAATTTTGTAAGTTTCCATGAAGAATGACATTATTATATTTACTTTATTTAGATTGAAGCAGATTCAAACTTGCCCAAAGCTATCAATAAATATTAAACAAACTTGCAAGGAAACTTGCTTTTATATTTGTAAGCTTAAAATACATATTCGAATTATTTATTTATTTATTTTTATTTTACTCTTTTTATTTTCATTTACTTTAAACAAACGAAATAAGAAACTTTCTATCAGATTGCAGTTTATTATTACCTAACATTATCATTTTCAATTTCGCTGCTTTTAGGAAAACGTAAGCAAAAGAAAATAAACAATCTGTCACACAAATACTGTACAACCTGATGTTTAATTACATCTAAAATCCCAGAAGCTTAATAGATTTTGTTTTCGTAGCGCCCTCGCTAGATATATGTTACAACGACGCTAACAGTGTTTTTGGGAAAACTATGATGAATTTAAGTAAAACACACCTGGTCTGTCAATATAATTTTAAAGTTCGAATTAGGTACACGAAACTCATTAATAGTTTAGTAAAAGTTCAGTTTTGTTGCGAAATTTCATTAGAGCTCGGTTCGTTAGTAGATTTTATTCGTAATTTTTGTTTGGTAATAATTCGTAAACATGTTTTATGTAAAATGCTTTATTCTATTAACGTTTAACATCCGTGACACATGCTCTACAATTAGTGTTGTTGTTCGGTTCCCCACTACATACAATTGACTGTGACATGTGTTTTATATAGTATTGCGTATGTTATGATATACGGAAAAAATACACTCACTCTTACTGCAAATAAAAAATACTTTATATAGGTTAAACAAGATTTTTTAATTATTCACCTATGGTTAGTGGACAATTTTTATACGACTTTCATTTACTGAACTATTTATTTGCCATAGTGATTTTAGTTTCAGAGGGTATAACTGTATTAACTTACTATAAACGAAGTTTTTACTGCAGCAGTTTTAATGTTATACTTATTAAAGTGTGTTTTTACAATAGAAATAGATTAATAGATTTTCATACTTAGTTGATTCATTTGAATACCTCAACAACATGTTTAAAAAAAAAAAACAGTTTAATGTTTGTTCTCTAAACTTGTAACATGATCTTGTTAGTTTATCTATTTTTTATAATGTTTTAAGCTCTTATGATTTTGGGGAGTAGGTCAGGTTATTAAATAACTCGTATTACTTTGAAAAAGAATGTTGAGCGCCACTATATTTAAAACTTACTAAACTTGACTATCGATTAATGATAAAAATATAGAAAATCACTAACCATTAAGATATTATAATTAAATAAGGTTTCAGATAAGGTAGCGACAAATTCTAATTCACGAAGACTTACTTATTCAAATTTAAATGATTTATTATTAAAAGACTTATCTGTGAACAAGAGGTAGTATTTAAGGAGAAATTTGTAGAGGCCTTCTTCAAGGGGATTCGTATGATATACTTCGGATATCACCAACTCTTAAGTATAAATCTTCATAGGTAAACTTAAATCTCATAAACTTCTTTAGATGACTCGAACTAAACCTCTTGATATACTTGAAATAAACTTCTGTAGCTGGAATTAAACTTCTAAGTTTGTATACTTCCAAACATCAAAACATGCAGCTTGAACTTTCTTCTAAACTTCTAAACAATCTCTTTAGATATAACTCCTACAGAACCGTCTCGATACAGCCAGGCTACAAGAACAAAGGTAAAAATATCAAGAAAAAGCGGGATAAGATGCGTCGCCTTCCTAACACGTCTGCCCAACATTTTTTAAAGTAAGTGTTCACATGACAATGGCCGTGACGCGGATTGCGTAACGGCCTCGAGAATTCAAAGTTACTTTAGGGTTGGATTTTAAGAGTTTTGTGTCCAGATACTAATTGTTAAAATTAAATATTGTTGTTTTATGTATTAATATGTTGAATGCTTCAACAGGTATAATCATACTATTATTAAGACTTTTAATTTTGGGTAACTTATACGAAAAATCGATTCACGGCACTATGATGAGCGTTCATTGTACAGTTCATTGATTATGGGAATTTCCATACAGGAACCTGAAGTACACGTGGTTGAATTAAAAACTTCAGTTTCTTTTATAATATACACCGGTTTGACTCGTTAGTATTGTTCAGTTCTTCTCTTCACTTTATTTTTCAGTTTGTCTTTCCAGAAAGTTATTTTCTTATTATCTAGTAACTAAGGATATGGCAATTATTTCATGATATTTTGGTCGGCTCCACGATTTTATCACCGAAAATTCTTTTATAGAGCTTACATTTCATAGCCATCTAAATCGGGTTTTTAAAATTTTGTTCTAAAACTATACAAGGTAGATCAAAATGTTCAATTTTTTTTACACTATTTTCATTACATGTCCATTAAAGGGCTTCTTTTTGAACTCTTTTACAAATTTTACTATTGAAGTTATAATTTACCAATGAAAATTAACAATATTAGTTTCCATAAAATTCGTTTTTGCCAGTAAAACACAATACTAAAAAGGAAAAGTTAAAGCAACTGTGTAATATACGATGGGTAGAACGTCACGATTCGGTGTTGAAATTTTTAGAACTTTTAGAACTTTAGCACATATTGTAACTTGGCCAGACAAATTTACATCAAGTGACGCATTTTCTTTGTTGAAAGCCACCCATTCATCCAAATTCCAAGTTTCCCTACAAATTTTAACAACAATAATGGCAATAAGCCTCCCGCTGTCAGATTTTACAAACCGTAGACATGGACTTTGGACGTGCAATGGATATGGCAAATGCTTTTCTCTGAGATTTTCAAAGAATTTGAGAAAATGGAGATAGTGAATTTCACAAAATATTTCTTAAAATCCAAGATACTTGTGAAAAGTTAGATGTGGAGGTAATTGTACCACGGGTCGTGTCACGTTAATCACAACGATCTAATTTACCTTCTTCTTTGCCAGAAGAATACTATAGAAAAAACATATTTATTCCTTTTATTGATTCCTTCATATTGCATTTACAGGAAAGAGTCCTAAAACATGAAGTTATTTTAAAAAGTTTTAGCGTACTATTTCCATCCCAACATTCTTCACTCGATAAAGAAAACTCAAGAAAATTATATTGTGCATATGAAAATATGTTGGAAGCGTACAGTTTTCATATTTTTTTGGAGAAGTTAAGTTGTGGCATAGGTTACTGAGTGAACTTGAAGATCCCCGAAAAATGCCGATAGCGCATTGATATACTTGCAAACAAAACAAATATTGTCCGTTTTTCCGAATATAATTTCGTTACTAAAAATATGTTATGTCACTATCCCTGTAACTACAGCTTCTAATGTGCGATCGTTTTCAACATTGAGATGCCTGAAAACATATTAGCGCAATAGTATAGGAGACGAGTGGTTAAATGGGTTGGCTGTATTAATTATATACACAGACATTAATTTATCGACAACTGAAGTCCTTGATGAATTTTCTAGATATAAGAGAAAATTACTTTTAAATTAATAATTTTTAAATGCCAAATTGAATTCTACTTTTATTTTTGCGATATTTTTTGTACAGAATGTATTTTTATTTGTTATGTATTATTTGTTTGTTTTTATTTATTATTTTATAATTCTATAATATTATAATAATAATAATAATTCTATAATATATTAACTGAAATTTGTTATGGAACCCCCCATTGACAAATTTCTGGCTACGCCACTGCATTTTGTACATTTAATAATTTCATTGAATTACTATGATAGTGCTTAACCAAACTATTTGCTACCTTTCTATTTTCTTTAACCATGCCTATCGTATTTTTTTCAAATAAATAATTTATTCGACACTGTGTTTTTCGTGTAAAATGTTTCCTATTCTAAATATTATTATCCGAAACCATTTTCCAGCGATGCTCAAAGTTTTATTAAAACTTTATAATTTATTTTTGTTATAAAAAGAACAAAACTCATTACTTCTAAAAAAATTCAGAATCTCCCTTAGGACTGGTATTTTACTTTCAGCAAATTGAAGTTAAAAGGTTGAAAATTCCGTCAAAAATATTAAGTGTTAACAACGGCGACATCTTAATTAAGAAGTCTGCGTCCCGGAAAGCTTATCATTTTAAAAAAATGTTAAAAACCAGACGGCACTTGTACCGTTCTGGAAAGTTTAATAGGCGAAAACATTCCGTAACCGCAATTATGAGTATTTTTCATTTCAATTGCATTCTGTTTTGTATTAATTTTAAAATTTATTTGATGTTCGGTTTTTGGTAGAATCAGGCGCCATGTGGTTGTCGTTTTCGAGGATTATCATTTGAATTTTCCAGACGATCAAAAGTAATTAAAACGTAAAAAGAAACAGGTGTACATGATTTTAACGAATTTGTCTAATTAAGTTAAACCTATAACTTTCTGCCTTTTAATGTTATTATTAAATATTCTTATAGCAGTAATATAAATGTTTTTAGACGCTATAAAACTTCTTATATTCTTTATATAACCAGTTAAGGAAGTCCTTATTTTGTGGAACTTAAGAATTGAAGATTATTTTCGAGTAGATTAAAAAAATATATTTTTGATTAACTTCACTTTGTACTGTCATACATTGATTTTCATCAATACTTCATAGAAAATTTACGAGTTTATTTTTATTTTCTAATTACCACTGCTGGGATATTTTTTAAGAGTTTATGAGCCCAAGTTTGCAGTTTTGAGTTACAACTAATGCGAAAAACTAAAAGCCATTAAAATTAAAGTGTGTACCGCTAATTATTTTTCATCAACGCAATTTACTAATAAAATTAGTGCAAGAAAAAAAGATCATGATCATTTTATTATCCAAGACATTTTGCAAACTGTAAAATGTGACTACCAGTCGTCGACAATAAGTTATGAAATGGTTTATGTATGATTTTAAGTTTGTTGTTGGGACAGACCTAAAATCTATGATATGTAGGTATTGTACGTTGTGTGTGCTGGGATGCAGTATACTTAGGAACATGTGCTGCGGCCACGTATGGCTAACAGTGACGTGAACGTGTGGACATGGCTTCCCTGTATCTGTAACGTGCAGAGGGTGGGTTACTCCCATGGCACTTACGCTTCACTAGGCCCATTGTGCATCCTCCTAAGATGACAGGCACCTCCTAGTTCGTGAATCCGCCTACAGATTTAATGTAGTTGACAACGTCGCCAAGAGGTGCTTCTCTTATATCGGCCGGTGTTAGTCGATACTCTCCGAACTCTAATCTTCTAATAAATAAAAGCGTCAAGCAATCGTGAAGAATATGGTCTCTTCTTGTTCGCACTCTCTGCAGAGTTCGGATTCTGACAGCCACACGATATAAAGATGCTTTGGTACTTGGCAGTCAAGTATTTGTTTGCTGCAGTGTTGTCAGGATAACTTAAGAGCTCCCTAGCAACTCTACAGTTTCTTGTTTCATATTATCTTTTTTGAATTTCACAAGGAAATGTTCTTTAATTAGATCTGTCACTATCGATTTTGTCAGGCCATTAAAAGGGATAGGTCCAAACAGTATTTTATTGGCTGTTTTCTTGGCTAGTGAATCAGCAAGATGGTTACCTGTCGATGTGGCGTGAACTTTGATCCATCTTAAGGTGACAACATTGTTGATGGATACTTTAGTACTAACCCTGAGTAAATTCGGTCTGTTCAGGGCTTCGAGCAATGCTCTAAGGTTCAGGGTGAGTAGTGCTTGTCTGATATCTGTGTAAATGAGCATGTTCCTTCCAATGATATTGTTTCTGGTGATTTATTTTGCTGCTATGAGAATCCCCGTCAGCTACACTGCCACTATTGCTCACAGCCCATTTTATGTTTAGGTTTAAGAAACTAGAGTATATTCCACATTCTGAGCCTTATTTTATTTTAGAATCGACGATGTAAATATGAATTGTGTCTGACACTTTCGGCTCTTCTATTTGTTCTGTTATGATTTTATATGCCCAATGAAAGATATTTCGGTGAGATGGAGTCTATGGTCGCTTGAAGCAGTGGGAGCTCCTTCTGTCAAAAGCGACGTCTTGCCTCACCAAATCCCACATCAGGTTTTATTCCAACCATGAGGAGATGTGTCATTGTCGTCAGAGCAACCTTCTTGATGTAAATATCAAGTGGAGTGAGACTAAGAATGACTTCCATGTAAGTCTGGGGGGAAAAACCCAAGGTGGGCCCCACGGTTTGGCAGCATTGTTCGTAAGCAATGTATGCTCTTTTGATTCTGTTTTCTAAATGTGAGTTCCATGTTAACTTGCTGTCAAAAGTGAGACCTAAATACTTCAGTTCTGTTGCAAAGTTTAGTTTGTGTTTAGGAGTTCTGGAGGTTTTATTTCCATTTTCATCCTTTTTCTTGTAAAAAGGACCATTTTTGTCTTCTTAGCATTGATAGACTGTGAATGGTCCTTGCATCACTGTTCTATAATTTTGAAAGCTTGTTGAATTATTTCGCAGAGTATGTTCTCAGAATGACGAGGTCATCTTCATATGCTATTGTGTAGTAACTGTCATTATTGAGGCGGCTCATAGGGGTATCGAGGACCATGTTCCACAGTAGAGGTGATAGCACCCCTTCCTGTGGTATCCCCTCGCAACCAAGCCTCTTATATTCACATCTTCTACACTTATGTTTACTTCTCACTTTGAGAGCATGTTATGTATCCACCCACTAAGCATATGTGGAACATTTCTGTTGGTTAGTGAGTGTATCTTTGGGAAAGTGGTTTTATCAAAAGCACCTTCTATGTCTATGAAAACACCCAAGGCGGCCTCCTTATTGATAGATAGATATTGTTTTAAAATATAAAATTTTATAAACAAAGTCTAAGTTCTTATAGTACTAATAGGTATTTACACAATTTAAAATTAAAATAAGAATATAAAATTAGGTATTTACACAATTTAAAATTAAAATATAAAAATGTAATTAAAATAAAATAAAATTGGTAAATATTACAGTACACATAAAATTTTAGTTAAAATTATCATTATAAAATTCTTCAATAGAATAATAAGTTTTTTTTAGCATAATTTTTTTCACACTTCCAAAGAATACTTTATAATTTGTAATTTTTCTTATTGCCAAGGGTAAATGATTAAACATTTTTCTTCCGTTGTATATAATAGAGTTCCTTATTAATGCGGATGATGGGATCGGTAGATAAAGGTAGTACGATTGCCTTGTATTGTATGTTGAAGTTATAATTATTTCTTCCTTAAACTTTTTATGAATAAGAGCTACCGTCTCTAATATAAACAGGCTGGCTACTGTTAAAATTTTATATTTATAAAATAAGGGTTTACAAGAAGCATACTTATTAAGTTTACACATGTACCTCAGGGCCCGCTTTTGCATAATAAAGACTCTATTAAATAGCTCGTCAGAACATGCACCCCAGAAACAAATGCCATACCTCAAATGGGATTCTATCAGCGCAAAATATACGCTTCTTGCAGCCTGCAAACTCAAACTGTAGGTCACTGATCGTACTGAAAAACAACCCGACGCTAACTTTTTACATAATAAATTTATGTGACTTTCAAATTTTAGTCTATAATCAATAGATAATCCTAAAAATGTATTTTCATTTGTAACGTTAATAATTTCGGCTCCCATTGAAATGTTTTCCATTTCACATTTAAAACAAACAATATTGGTTTTTGAAATATTAAATGTTAGATAATTAGCGTCACACCATTGTTTAATTAATTCAATGTCCCTGCTTATGATACGATGCAAGGTTTCATTATTGTTGCTGAGCCAAAGCACTGTCGAATCATCAGCAAAAATTGCAAATTGTCCCTGAATGTTAATAGTGACAATGTCATTAAAGTATATAAGGAAAAGTACTGGTCCCAGTACTGATCCCTGCGGAACTCCGCAGTAAATATGTTCTGACATTGAGGATTGATCATTTAAAGTTACCTTTTGAATTCTATTATTTAAGTAGGATTGAAACCATTTTAAAGCAATTCCTCGAAAACCATATTTTTCAAGCTTGTCTAGCAGTATTTTGTGATTCACACAATCAAAAGCCTTGGTTAAATCACAAAACACTGCTGCAGCCACCCGATCGTGATTAATTTCAAGATATAGTTTTTGCAGGAGAGAGAACATAGCATCTGTAGTGTTTTTTGCTGATTGAAAGCCAAACTGAGAATGGGAAAGTAACGAGTGCTTATTTAAAAAATCCAACATTCTTGACTTCACCAATTTTTCTATTACTTTCGCTAAGGTTGGTAGTAAAGATATGGGACGGTAATTTGCTGGATTATTATGGTCTCCCCCTTTGTGCAATGGTATGATATTCGCAACCTTTAAAGTGTCACAAAATGTACCTTCAACAAATGAGTAATTAATTGCATCAGCTAGTGAACTTAATATTGTGTCTGAAAGTTGTAACAATACTTTGGCTGATATTCCTTCCCACCCAGAAGAATTTTTTTTTGTTATAGATTTTAAAACTTCCTTAATCTCTATGTAATGAGTGGGTATAAAATAAAAAGTGTCGGAAGCATTAACGTTACTTAAGAATGATTAAGGGTCAATAAAAGATTTTATTTGTACAGCCAATTTTGGTCCAACAGAACAGTAAAATTGATTAATATCGTCTGGACTAAGACCAGTAATTACTGGTTTTAAATGTTTGCCCCTCAACTCATTAATGATTTTCCAGGTCTCTTTCTGTTTATTTCCTGAAATTGCAATTCTTCCTTCGAAATATAGTTTTTTAGCTAACTTTATTGTTCTTCTGTAAACTGACCGGTATTTATTAAAGTAATTTAAGAAACTTATATTGTCTGCTCCAACATATTTTTTGATCAAATGCAAGGAGCGTATATTTTTAGCTGATGTCTTAATTCCCTTTGTCATCCAACCTTTTCTGTTGTCTAGGGATCTCTCTCTATCTGGCCAGCAACTACATGAAGGGCCAAATCAATAGATCTAGCTGGGGTGTATGCATGTTGGTTTGGGTGTAGTGGAGTTGTATTCACCGCATCCCTTATGTACCTTTCGCATAGTCTTTCCAATGTCTTCATGGAAAACGTTGTCAGACTAATTGGTTGGTATATTTTTGGGATAGTGTAATCCATCCTTCCAGGTTTGGGTATAAATACCACTTTTACCTCTCTCCATTTTTTGGAAATATACCTCAGAGGTAACGAAGGTCTGAATATACCCACTAGGTGCGGTGTAAGTTCTTCCAGATCTCACTGAGGTAGGGCTGGATAGATACCGTCAGGTCCTGGCGATTTAAATGGAGAAAAGCTGGATATTGCCCATCTAATTATTTTATCGTCTACAATGTGTTTGGCAGTTTGCCAATCATGGACAGATGGGTTGTATTCTTCCTCTGCCCCGTCGGCCACGTCTGTGATGACCGAGTCAGAGAAGTGTGTTGACAGCAGAAATTTGATGCTATCTTTGAAATTGGCAGTTTTCGTGCCATCCTCTTTTATTAGCCCACCAATGCTTCAGTGTGGATTGTTTAGAAGAGTTTTTTGAAGCCTCGCTGACTGCGGGAAATCTTCGATTTCTTCGCAGTAGGATCTACATGCATCTCTCTGTTTTTGTCTGACGATTTTTTGTATTCTCTAAAATGAGATTTGTAAGTATCCCAGTCCTCTTTGAGTTTTGTGGTTCTTGCCTTATTAAAGGATGTCTTAACCATCTTCCTGAGGTGATCCAACTCGTGACACCACCATGCATTAGTCATCTGATCGTATTGGACCAGCCTCAGAGGACAGAATTTCTTATAGACATTGTTTATTATGCTTTGTTCGATTACTTCTCCAAAGCATTGTTATTGTTTGATGTTTCGGCTTCCATCTCTCTTAGAGCCTTTTGGAGAAGGTGGGCATAAATTGCCTGTCCGTCTTCCTAGGATTCCTAGATAGCGTGGAGGTCGGCATCATCAAGTTTATTTTAAATGTTAACCAGCGGTGGTCTGACATCGAAATGATATCAGACACTTGCCAGTTTAGAATTGATTTATAGATAGCAGTTGTGGATAAGTGATATCTATTAATGTTTGACTGCTTTCAATCAATTTTTTTTAAGATCAATAGGCTGCATCCCCTTATAAAGCTTGATTTTTCTGAAGATTTCAATTTGATATAATTTTTTGTTTCTAAGTTAGAATTTTTTTTAATAGTTCAACCTCCTTATATCCTCATTTTTATTTATTTACTTATTTATTTCCTTATAAAGCTTAATTTTTTTGAAATTTTCAAGTTGATATCATTTTTCGTTTTTGACCTATTGTGAGGAAAAACCTATAATATTCTTCACAGACTACTGTGTGAAGGGTATAATAAACGACTAAAATTTTACTTAATATTATCATTTATTTTAATCATATTTTTAACAAGATCACATTGCGTAAATTCAGTAACATCAGTGTCCTTCAAACTGGAATTACTGATCTCGCTATTATACCGATCACTACCCTTCCTGCCGAAAATTTGGCTGAACCTCAACGGCAGCATAGAGCATTTTTTCCCGTCCTGTATAGCCTCGTGCTCGCATGCTATCGACTTATTCCTGTCGTACAGCGACGTAGTACGGCTGGAGTTTGATAAAAAACTGCTACGGCTGCTGTCTGAAATTTTCGAGTTGCATCGCTTGTTTTTTGCATGAGCCGACTTGTTTAAAGCTGGGGTTACGTTATCGGATACGGACCTGGGCATGTCTCGCATACTAGGCGGGACTCTTCTGATGGCTGCGTAGTGGCTTTTGGAGGTGCTTTTGCAGCCACACATCTCGCTGAATGTGTACTGAAAAAAAAAAAAAAATTTAAATAAATCAATCAAATTCATATTAGGAGTGGATTGACTCGAACAGTCCAGAATATTCAAAGAGGGTCTATCCAAGAATAGACAAAATCAACTGTTACACCTTAGCAGGAACGAAATAAAGACCGTAATAGGATAGCTGACGCTGGCAAATTTCTATGTAAAATATGTGAAAAAGTCTAGATTCAAGTGGGCTTTAATAGATAAAAGCAAATTTATACTTTATGATGACGATGAAACACTTAATATTTTCAAATTCGGAAATAGCGTGATTGGGAATAAAATAGTATAACATTAGATCTAGCTAATTATTTTTATTTTAGTAATAAGAGATTTCAAACAAAATGGTTGTTTATGGGCAGTAACATGACAGACCTATGGGCCTGGTGGATTTGACAGGGTCAATGATATAGAATATAGATAGTTATACATTATCTGCTATTGAACACTTTCCAATACGTCTGGTCTTTCTTGCCATGTGAAAACTACGGAGAGTTAGCATTAGGGCGAGCAAGAAACGAACAATATCAGCGTTACCAGTTTATAGGGCCCGGCCAAAGTTACAACGCGGTTTTCAATACTATTAACTACATAGTAGGGGAGAGTGGGGCAAGTGACTTATAGGGCGCAAGTGAGTCTTTCAGAATAATTCATAAAACCGGAATCATAGCCGATAACAGTCAGTACAGTTTATAATTGTATCAACAGCTGCGTGGTGCTGATAAAAATTAGTAAAACTAAGGTAAATATGAATATTTTTTTATATTACGTTTTGTTATATTATATTTAAAGTAAATTACGTAAGGATTTTTCATAACTGAAAGTAGGTATCAAGATATTTCATCATTAGCATGACGTAACCTTATTTGTGTGCAATACCGGACGATATTTAGAATGTTGCCAAATGTATCTGTTCTTCTTTGATTTATTTCATTTTATTTTGGTGTTACTCTGAGGCAAGTGAGTCTTGACCATGACTCACTTGCAGGTGGATAATGGTCCGTAGTTACGGGCGTAAGACCAGAACACGCTGTGCACCGTGAGTTAGAAGCTATTCAGAATAAACAGATGTCAATCAAGAGAGCTAGTATGGTCTTCAATGTTGCGAGAACGAGCATACACACACAGATAAGTCGTCAGGTGATCAACTCAGTTACAAACCTTGGCAGGTTCAAGCCTGTGTTCACTGCATAAATGGAAATGAGACTGTGTGAACATATAATACATTAAAAAAACTGTTTTATGAACTTTTAACGGCAGATGTTCGACGAATTGCATTTCAGTTTGCTAACGGTAATCAAATCAATCACCCATTTAATAAAGATCGGGAGCTGGAATCGGAAACCTGTCTATCCGACATCTGGAAGCATCAAGTATTGCAAGGCAGAGAGTTTTTTAAAACCTTAAAAGAGATCTTAGATAAGTGAAATTTTTCCCTGTATCGTGTATATAACTTTCATGAGACATGAATCACCTGCCTCCAAAAACCAGTAAAAATATTGGCGGAAAAGGAAAAAAGGCAAGTGGGAATATTAATTTCACTGGAAAGAGGAAAAAATACAACTTTATTAGCTCATGTCAGTGCTAAAGACACATTTATCCCACCATTTATGGTCTTTCCTCTTGTAAGAATGAATCCAAATTTATTGAATCATGCGTTTCCTGGCACGGTAGGATTTCCTGCACAAACAGAATAGACGGATACTGATCTATTTGTTAAATTTTTAAAACATTTTATAGACTGCAGAAAAACAACCAAATAATCTCCAAGTCTGGTGATATTAGATGGGCATTCAAACCATAAGGCTATTGAGTCAATAATCCTGGAGTAACTTTACCACCTCACACTTCGAATAGGCTACAAACGTTTGATGTAAGCGTATTTGCACCATTCAAAACCTACCTGGCAAAAGAAATAGACCATTGGCTCACAAACCACCCTGGCCGTAGAATCACTGAATATGACATGGCTCATATTATTAAAAATGCCTTAATTAAGACATTTACACCAACAAATATTGTTAACGGTTTAAAAAAAAACGGTAAAGAAGAATTTTGAGAAAGCAGGCCCATGTATAAATGATAAAAAAGTAAAAAAAAAGAAAACATGAAGTAAAAGAAAAATGTTCATCAGCAGATCCAGTAACAATATAAGAGGAAGAGAAAAACAAAATATGCCTTTATTGCCATAAGACATATGGGAGAGACTTGCCATGAAGAATGGATCATGGGCATAAAATGTGGTGCCAAGATGCATGAGGAGTTCAGATAATGACCCAGGTGCTAATAATTATGTTTGTGACAAACTGCTGACAATTCTTACTCTAAGGACTCACTTGCCCCATAACTTAGGACAAGAGAGTCATATGACATCTTTATTAAGTCTTACATTTTACCAAAGATTTTATATTTCATTAATTTTTTAAGATCAAGTTATTAAATAAACAGTTAAAGTTGTTCTGTGTCCAATAAAGACTGTTTTATTTCTAAAAGTAACAAAAATAACCCTTCTTGAATATTAAGGTGTCTCACTTTCCCCACTCTCCCCTATTGGTAAGAATTATGGAAAGAAATGACAGTTAGGGACGTTATAGAAAAAAATTATAATTCATAATGTTCAATCTATTTCATTTTCGGTGCACACACCCCGTATATCTTGATATCTCTAGATTCGTTCGATAGTAATTTGTATTTTTTGTTTGTTTTTGTGATATTTACATAAAATGTATATGTAGCGAGTGTATAATGATCATTAGAACCAGTTACCTAAGTGAACCAATTAAAAGTTTTGATAAAAAAGTAAATACGTTTTCCACTTCTGAATGACAAAATCGATTATGAAAAAGTTTTTGCACGCTAACGAAGTTTCAACTATGTGAATATTTTATTTTTCTGTCCAAAAATATAAAAATATATTTTGTTATTGATGAGACATTAAATATAGATATTTTTTATGCATCAGTGTCGTCGTACTCATTGAAAATATGCTAGTCATAACTTGAAGATTATTTTTCTAAAATCTTGTAGTATAGGAAAGATAAATTATATATATATTTTTTTATTGAAATTAACGTGTCTCGGCATCAGGGGCCATTGACACAACAGGCACAATTATAATATTACAAGAGGTTTTACAAAAATATACACTATCTACAGGCAAAAGAAAAAAAAACCTAATTTACAAAACTATAGGGTATAGGAAAATAATTTATACTAATTTAAATTTGATTAAATAAATTCACCTCTTTTAAAAAATTAAACAGTTTTCCAAATTCACTAGGACATCTAAGGGTACTAATGCTATCACTCAAACCATTCTTAGCCCGTTGAGTTTAAAAGTAAATGCAATCTTCCTCTAATAAATGTTTGACCGTTAAAGTCCTGTTACAGTACAAACAAAGAGGTTGGGCTTCGGCAGACAGTAAATGTTTATGAGTCAATCTTGTATGTCCAATTCTCAGTCTTCTAATGATGATACTTTCTTTCTTTGACAGAGAGGGCATTTCGAAATAGTGCAGATTCGGCTGAATTTCTCGAAGTTTTAAATTATTAATATTGTGCCAATGATTTTCCCACTGATTATGGACCTTTTGGCGGAATGAAGTTTTTAGGTCATTAAGTAATTGGATATTTTTTGGTGGTAGATTCATCTGAATAGCTCCTTTCGCGACACGATCAGCTTCCTCATTGCCTGCAATCCCGACATGAGAGGGAATCCAAGTAAGGGAAACGGAAGTTCCTACTGAAGCAAGAAATTTGTAACAATCGTGTATTTCTTGGACCAAGGGATGTTGAGTATAAATATTTTTAATAGAGTAGATCGAAGAAAGGGAGTCTGTACATATAGCGACATAGATATCCTCAGCAGTTAATGATTTAAAAGCCTGAAGTATCCCATAAAGTTCCCCAGTATGAATACTGCATGAGGAAGGTAGCAAAAAGGATTTCTTGAACCCATCATTTGAGGTGACAGAACAACCTACACCGGATTGATCTTTAGAAGTATCCGTAAATATAATTCTTTTAAATTTGTTGCTATAAATTATTTTCGTAAATGATTGCCTAAAGAATTCTTTTGGTGTGTTACTTTTATTGACTTGGCTAAGCGAGGTATTAAATTTGGATAAATTATATTAAAGTTTTGTTTGTGTTTAAATAAAAACATTAGAGTTTTAAGGAAAAATATCTGATATGCCAATACGAATTTCTTAATATTATTACCTAAAATATATTTCTAAAGTGTTTGTAGTTTTTCCAGATATACGAATATATCTACAAGTGAATAATACAGGGTGCCCCAATAAAAAGTAGCCCGTTTCCAGAGCTTATAACTTTTAAGGGCTTATTCGTAGAAACGTGCGGTTTTCGCTGATGTGTGTTATTTTGCTATAAATTTTGGTTTAGTGACACAGAAATTATGTATTACTGCAGGGTGTTTTTTAAAAATCTCTTTTAAATTCACCGTATCAAATTTATTTTATAAAATACCATGTACAAATTATACATTTTTGAAAAGTAAAAGAGTGTATCTTTCAGATGACCTAAACATATACAGGGTGTTCCATTGTTTGGTTACGGTGAATTTAAAAGAGATTTTTAAAAAACACCCTGTAGGGGAGAGCCCTGTAATAAGATTTAGTTCATTATTTGTGAGTCTGTCAGATCAAGGTAGGAACTTTTACTTTATTTTGACAAAAAACACTTTTAAACTAAAAAGTTGTAAAGCAGGAACCTATTGACATTATTGTCTCCTATTACCTAGTAAAGTTAGAAAATAGAGCAAGTTTATATTTTAATTACGAGGCGGTGTTTTTCTTAGAACATATATAGTCAGGAAGGAGCATGCCATGCCCGCGTTAATCTAATCGATCTGACGGACGTAGTAGCCATGATGTACTATGGATGACTGATCATCATATGATAAATGGTTTCTAAAATTGGTTTATAATTTTAGTGATTAAAATTTGTTTATAATTTGGATG